ATTGACCGTCACATTATAACCCCCCACGGCTAGAAGGGCGAGCGTGTTCAGTGTGACGTGGATTCGAACCCGCGACCCTCAGATTGCGAGTCGAGTGCCTTAACCACCTGGCCATGCCGGGCCCTTTTAACAAAGTTATATTGTGGAACATCAAATCTGTCACAGTGTGGACAGGAGGACAAATCACGGGCTTCAAGATACCGATATTTTTGTAAGTGCTACATATAAATCTGTCAAGACAAAGTAAGGAAACAAAGAATGCTTATTTCATTTGCATTAGCAAAATCAGTGTTGCTGAGGAAATATTTAGGTTTGAGAGACTCCTGTCCCATTGGACAAAGCACAGCAATGAAATAATAGATATATAACACCAATAGTATGGTTCACCCTATTAAAGCAGAATCAGTGAATCTTTTGTTTTTGTATTCAATTACACATTGCATCATAAATGGATATGATGGGTTGGTAAAACACTAATTTATACAGTTCTTGAATGTGGTGTAACATATTTCAGAAGAAGTGTAAGACACTTGAGAAGACTTATTCAGTATCCAACAGCAAAGATAGTGTGGGTTTTTATTTCATGAGGGGTGACCATGGATCATGGCAACTCATTACTCAGAATCCTTGTGCATGCCTTCCATGCTTTACCCACAATGTCGAGGATATTTCAAACAGGGGATGGTTCACAACGAAAAGTTCTGGCCACAGTTGCGGGTTCCAGTGAATGATGCAAAACAAAATTTGCCCTAAACATTCAAGGGTCAGGGAAAGGAGACTTGAACCATCTTCTGAAAAATTTCAGGCTGGTAACTGTTTGGAATAGCTGGTTTACACAACAGGCTATACAGAGTTTGCTTTCGAACGCGGGCAGACCAGCCCTAGCCTCCACTGAAAACTTTAGCAAGATGGAAATATGAGACAGTCATTGCTGAGATGCACTGAAGTTTCAACTCCATGCAAAACTGACCACTCCACAGGGATGGTTCAAGGGTACCACAGAAAATTTTGCCTCTTAAGAGGAAAATTTGTGTCATTTAGAGAGAAAGATTACCCTGTAATGGCTTCATCAGATATCTTCACGAACAGGTTTTTGGAAATGCTATTCAGTGAGATGAAGAAGTACCACCTGGGTGTAAAAGGTGTTCTCACCTTACTGAGTGAGTTTCTGTAGCA